CCTCTATCCCTATATTCTGGAGAGTTTTAATCAGGAAAGGATGTTGTATTTTGTCAAATGCTTTTTCTGCATCAATTGAGAGGACCATATGGTTCTTCTCCCTCCTCCTATTAATGTGTTCTATCACATTGATTGATTTGCGAATGTTGAATCACCCTTGCATCCCGGGGATAAATCCCACTTGGTCGTGGTGGATGATCCTTTTAATGTATTGTTGGATCCTATTAGCTAGGATGTTGTTGAGGATTTTGGAATCCATATTCATCAGGGATATCAGTCTGAAATTCTCCTTTTTGATGGGGTCTTTGCCTGGTTTGGGGATTAAGGTAATGCTGGCCTCATAGAATGAGTTTGGAAGTTTTCCTTCTGTTTCTATTTTTTGAAACAGCTTCAGTAGAATAGGTATTATTTCTTCTTTGAATGTTTGGTAGAATTCCCCAGAGAATCCATCAGGCCCTGGACTCTTGTTTTTTGGGAGGTTTTTGATCACTGCTTCAATCTTGTTCCTGGTTATTGGCCTATTCAGGTTGTCAATTTCTTCCTGTTTCAGTCTTGGCAGCTTATAGGTTTCCAGGAAGGCCTCCATTTCATCCAGATTGCTCAGTTTACTGGCATATAGTTGTTGATAATAATTTCTAGTAATTGTTTCTATTTCCTTGGTGTTAGTCGTGATCTCTCCCCTTTCATTCATAATTTTATTAATTTGGGTCCTTTCTCTCTTCTTTTGGATAAGTCTGGCCAGTGGTTTATCAATCTTATTAATTCTTTCAAAGAACCAACTTCTAGTTTCGTTGATCTGATCTACTGTGTTTCTGGTTTCTAATTCATTGATTTCTGCTCTAATTTTAATTATTTCTCTTCTAATGCGTGGCTTAGGCGTCGTTTGTTGCTTTTTCTCTAGTTCTTTAAGGTGTAGAGTTAGTTGGTGAATTCGGGATTTTTCTATTTTTTTGAGTGAGGCTTGGATGGCTATGTATTTCCTCCTTAGGATCGCTTTTGCAGTATCCCATAGGTTTTGGACCGATGTGTTTTCGTTCTCATTGATTTCCATGAATTGTTTAAGTTCTTTGATTTCTTGGTTGACCCAAACATTCTTGAGCAGAGTGGTCTTTAGCTTTCAAGTGTTTGAATTTCTGCCAATTTTTTTCTTGTGATTGAGTTCCAGTTTTAGAGCCTTGTGGTCTGAGAATATGCAGGGAATAATCTCAATCTTTTGGTATCGGTTGAGACCTGATTTGTGACCCAGTATATGGCCTATTCTGGAGAAAGTTCCACATGCGCTCGAGAAGAATGAGTATTCTGTTGTTTTAGGGTAGAATGTTCTGTAAATATCTATGAGGTCCATCTGGTCCAATGTATCATTCAAAGCTCTTGTTTCCTTGTTGATTTTCTGCTTAGATGATCTGTCCATTGCTGAGAGTGGAGTATTGAGGTCTCCTACAATTAACATATTGTTATCAATATGACTTTACTTTGGTTAACAGTTGGCTTATGTATATGGCTGCTCCCCTGTTGGGGGCATAGATATTTACAATTGTTAGATCTTCTTGTCGGATAGACCCTTTAAGAATGATATAGTGTCCTTCTGTGTCTCTTATTACAGACTTTAGTTTAAAATCTAATTTTTCTGATATAAGAATTGCTACCCCAGCTTTCTTTTGAGGTCCGCTGGCATGGAAGATGGATCTCCATCCCTTCACTTTCAGTCTGGATGTATCTTTAGGTTCAAAATGAGTCTCTTGTAGACAGCATATGGATGGATCCTGTCTTTTTATCCAATCTGCAACCCTGTGCGGTTTTATGGGAGCGTTTAGGCCATTCATGTTGAGAGTGATTATTGAAAGATATGAATTAATTGTCATCATGTTGCCTGTGAAGACGTTGTTTTTATAGATTGTTCCTGTAAATTTCTGTTCGAGATCACTCGTGGGGTCTTTCTCCTTTTATAGAACCCCCCTTAATATTTCTTGCAGGGCCGGCTTAGTGGTCACATATTCTTTCAACTTCTGCCGGTCGTGGAAGCTTTGCATCTCTCCATCCATTCTGAATGAAAGCCTTGCTGGATAAAGTATTCTTGGCTGCATGTTCTTCTCATTTAGTCCCCTGAATATGTCTTGCCAGGCCTTTCTGGCTTGCCAGGTCTCTGTGGATAGGTCTGACGTTATTCTGATGTTCCTCCCTCTGTACGTAAGGAATCTCTTCCCCCTAAGTGCCCTTAAGATGGTTTCCTTGGTTCTAAGATTTGCAAGTTTTACTATTACATGCCGGGGTGTTGGCCTGTTTTCCTTGATCTCAGGAGGGGTCCTCTCTGCCTCTAGGACTCGAATGTTTGTTTCATTCCCCAGATTAGGGAAGTTCTCAGCTACGATTTGCTCAAATACATCTTCTAGCCCTCTCTCTCTTTCCACTCCCTCCGGGATTCCAATTATTCTGACATTGGAATGCCTCATGGTGTCGCTTATTTCTCTGATTCTATTTTCATGGATTCTGAGTTGTTTTTCCCTGGCCTCCTCTTTTCCCTTTTTATCTATTATACTGTCTTCCAGATCACTTATTCTCTCTTCTGTCTCAGTTACCCTAGCTGTTAGATTATCTAGATTGGATTGGATCTCATTGATAGCATTTTTAAGTTCTGCCAATTCATCTTTTATTTCTGCCCTTAGACACTCTATGTTGCCATTAATTGATTTCTCCATTCTAGCCATTGTCTTCACAATTGCTAGCCTGAATTCCATCTCTGACATCTTGGTTATGTCTGCATCCATTTGTAAATTTGCAGCATAAGTCATAATCTCTGAGTCTTTTCTGTTTTGGGGGCTCCTCCTCCTAGTCATTTCTGTTGATGGGTGTTTGAGGGAATGTATAGAATCGAAATTATTGACCAGAACCCAAGCAAGATGTACCTGTTTTCTTGGGACCTTAGGGTTGCTGGCCTCTTGTTTTCCCAGCCTGTCTTCTGCGGGAGGGGCCTGCCGCGCTGTTACTCAGGCAACCCTGTTTGGGCGGAGTGGGCCTGCGCCCCTGTGGCGGGGGATGGGCTCAGTGGGAATCAGTCTTTGGGGCTTTTGTTCTCTGGCGCCTTTCCCTGGTGGCTTTCCGTGTCTCTTCCGTGAGTCACAGCAGAAGAGACCATTTCCAACCCTCTGCCTAAGAGCAGAGAGATCGCAGTCTGTTCTTCAGTGAGCTCTCCAGGCCACACCGTCTCCGTTTCTGTCCGTGCTGCTATAAACTGCAGCGGCCTGGGTTGTGCGCCCCTCCGCGCGCCCCCAGTCCTGCCTCCAGGTCGGGGCTCGTCTCTGCCCTTTGTGCTTCTAAAACCGCCAGCCGCTCCCAGCTCGCGTGCGCAACTCCTCCGCTCGGGGTCCTGTCCGGGGACTGCAGTTTGCATGCGCGCAACTCCGCCACTTGGGGTTTCCACCCCGGGGGCTGCAGTTCACTGGCGCGACCCCAGCGCACCGGGTTTCTGTCTCGGAGGCTGCAGTTCGTGTGCTCGTCACCCTGCCGGTCTGGTTTTCCACCCCGGGGGCTGCCCTAAAGTCCCTTCCCAAGGCTACTGGTCTGCGAGTCTGTGCCCGTCCGCAGCGCGCGAGGCTGTCGCTCACCGGCGGTGCACGATCCCCACGGCCAGGCGCCCTCCCGCTGCCGTTTATCCTCCAATATCTGCCTGCAGGATCACGGCTCCCCGCTTCGTACCTCAAAACCAACCGCCTGCGATACTCTGTTTGTAGAGATCCAGATCTTCTTACATCTCAGGCTGGTTTCCTGGGTGCTCAGAGTGGTCTGGTAGATATCCAGCTCAATTCCGGGGACCAGTTGAAATAGGGTCCCCTACTCCTCCGCCATCTTTCCCCTCCTCTCCATGAATATTTTTTGATAGAACCAATTAAATAAATGAATTACAGACTTTCATATAATCTGTGCACAGACAGATAAATGGACTTAAGTGAAAATTTTGGTTCAGGTTTTATGTCATAGGTATTCAGACTTACACTCCAAATAATATATAAGTAGGGTTAAACTCACCCTCACTTAAAGGAATGAGATTGCAAAGTAATTGTCAGGAAGTTTATTGAGAAAGAACTTTATTTGAAAAGGTTTCTTCTACTACACTGCATGAAGCTTCCCAAAGAGGCGGTGGCTTATCTATTAGTAGCTGAGGTCCTCTCTCTACCTTAGCCAGTGTTTCCTTTTCAATATCTGGCCTTGGCATACGACCAGTTATTCTAGATAACTCAGGCAACATTCTTGCAAATAGCAATGATGCCCGCTTTGAGCCCTTTTCAACAAATGAAGTATATGAGATACATCATAATCAAGAAAATCAGCAGAGAATTTCTGTCTCAACAAAAAGATAAATATTAACATGAAGTAAAAAGGTCTCCATTTTTTTTCAAAAATTATGCCAGGATTTTTCAGGAATTTCCCACATTTTTTTGATTTGGGGGAACTTCAGTCACTTGAGAATGGACGTGTACATTGGAAGTCACGGGACCTGGCATGATAAAGGAGCAGGACACCGTCATTAATTTGTGCACTGCAATTTATATTCTTTATACTGGGAAACAGACACAACAGGCAAGAGAAGTGTGGTGCATGTTTATTATTTAGGAGCAGGAGTTTGTTCAGCCGCAGAGGATAGTAATACGGGGGCCAAGGCTAGCCTTTGTAAGTGGGGCCTTTGTATGAATTAAGAACAGATTCTCCTGGGCGCCTGATTGGCTCAGTCGGTTAAGCATCTGCCTTCGGCTCAGGTCATGATCCCAGCGTCCTGGGATCAAGCCCCGCATCGGACTCCTTGCTCAGTGCGGAGCCTGCTTGTCCCTCCCTGTGCTTGTCCCCTTGAACTTGGGAACTTCGGGCAGCGCACCATCTACATCTCTTCATGTGGAAGCCCTTAGAAATAGGTGCATGGTAGGTAGCAAAGAATTTTCTTTTCAGTGGTGCGTAAAACTGATTGAAATTCAAATTTACCACAATAACAATTTAAAATCTGCATTTAGTACCCACTCCAGGGATGATTTATTCATATCCATGTCCAGATATGAAGCCGAGCATCGTCAGTCCGGATGTAGGAGGCTGCAGGAGACCATTGTGCCTGCCCTGAGAGTGAGGACAGTTCAGGTAAGTTACATAATCATAGGGTTGTTTTTTTTTTTCCATAATCATAGATATTTTTAAAAGCATTGTAGACCTGAGAACAGAGAAAACCTGAGTGAACTAGATCCCAGTAAGAACGGAACTAAATTCCAGTAAGAGACAAGCCCTTCCTAGAAAAAAGGGAGGCGGTGGCTGCTTTTATCCTTGGCACATTTCTCTTTACCTCAGAAATGGTAGGATATTGTACCCAAACGTCCCTATTTTTTTTTTTTTTTTTTAAGATTTTGTTTGTTTGACAGAGAGAGAGAGCATGAGCAGGGGGAGGGGCAGAGGGAGAGGGAGAAGCACACTCCCTGCTGAGCAGGGAGCCTGACTGGGGCTCAATCCCGGGAGTCCAGGATCATGACCTGAGCTGAAGGCAGACACTTCACCAACTGAGCCACCCAGGCGCCCCCCAAACGTCTTTTAAACCTTCATCTGCCATGTGGGGCTGACAAGATGGTTCTAAGGAACCTGAGGATGCCTGCTCACAGAGTGAATCCACACCCACTCCCCAGATCTTTCTCCCGAGCCCTTCACTGAGAGCACAGTGGCAGCACCAAGGGCTGAGGGGAGAACAGGAAGTAGAGTGAGTCTCCGGGGTGCGCAGAACCTTTCCTGAGCACACGGCAGGGCCCTCCCTACAGAGGGCTTCGGGGAGTGCAGAACTGAGAGCCATTCTCCCAAGGCAGCCTGAGCCTGTACCAAATGCAGGAAGCAGCAAGTCAAAGCCTATCGTATCAGGATGGAGCTGAGTCTCCTGGGGCTCAGGAATCTGGCTGCTGGCTTGCAGATCCTAGAGAGACGCTCCGAATCTTACCAGTTCTCAGATCCTAAGCCTTGCTGACGGGAACGTCTTGACCCAGCCCTCAAAGTGTTTGAAGCCAGTGGTGAACTGAATCCAATCAAAGCTGCAACAGAGCTCAGCTCGATTACAGATGTGTTTGCTTCAGCTTCTAACCCTTTTCAAGGAGCAAATACTATCTATTTACTTTTCAGTTATTCTTCTACATGGAAAATACAGAATGAGATTTTAAAAACTAAAGAGACAGAGGCAAGAAAACGTGATCCATTATCAGGAGAAAAAAAATGGTCATAGAATCAGGCCCAAAGACATAGATTATGGAATTAGCAGGCATGGGCTATAAAGTAACCCCAGTAAATGTATTAGAGGATTTAAAGGGAAAGATGAACAATACATAGAAGCAGATGGAGAATTTCAGCAGAGAAGTGAAAGCCGTCCAAAGAAATGATGGAAATTCTGACAGTGAACTGGTAGCAGTTTTCATTTGTATGTACTTAGTAATGGAGCTCCGAAGTATATGAAACAAACACTGGCAGAAGTCAGTCTTTGTTGGAGAATGGAGAAATATAGAAAGCCAAAATCAGAGCGGGAGATTCTCAGTAACTGAAAAAACAACTAGGCAAAGTCATAAAGACAAAGGGGATTTGAACATAACTGTCAACTACCTTAACCTAACACCAACACTGCACACAAAATACAAATGTAATCATAAACATTTATCAACACCAGCCATATGCTGGGCCATCAGAGAAGTCTCAGTTAGTTTTAAAAGAGTGACGTCATAGAAAGTGTATTCTCTTGAGACCGTTAGGGACGAGGGGAACAAGCCCCAAACACTGCATGTGGGGCGCTTCCCATTGGATGTTCTTGCTAAACTCCTTCTCTCACACAGCAGACGTGGGATGAGTCCAGGATGTGACCCGGTATATACGCCCACCTTAAAACAGAGGACCCTGGCTCCAGGAAGCACCAGTGAGCTGCCTGGGCCGCCTGCCAATATCGACCAGTCAGGATGAGGCCCTTCCATCAGGGGAAGACAAATCAAAACCTCAATGAGATACCACCTCACACCGGTCAGGATGCCTAAAATGAACAAGTCAGGAAATGACAGATGTTGGCGGGGATGCGGAGAAAGGGGAACCCTCCTACACTGTTGGTGGGAATGCAAGCTGGTGCAGCCACTCTGGAAAACAGTATGGAGGTTTCTCAAAAAGTTGAAAATAGAGCTACCCTACAACCCAGCAATTGCACCACTAGGTATTTACCCCCAAAATACAAATGTAGGGATCCGAAGGGGTACATGCACCCCGATGTTTATAGCAGCAATGTCCACAGCAGCCCAAATATGGAAAGAGCCCAGATGTCCATCAACAGATGAATGGATAAAGAAGATGTGATATATGTGTGTGTGTGTATATATATATATATATATATATATATGTATATATATAAAATGGAATATTACTCAGCCATCAAAAAGATTAAACTTTTGGCTGGAACTAGAGGGTATTATGCCAAGTGAAATAAGTCAGAGAAAGACAAATACCGTATGATTTCACTCATATGTGGAATTTAAGAAAACAGAAGATCATAGGGGAAGGGAAGGAGAAATAAAATAAGATAAAAACAGAGAGGGAGGCAGACCAGAAGAGACTCTCAACTTTAGGAAACAAACTGAGGGTTGCTGGAGGGCAGGTGGGTGGGTGGGTGGGGTAACTGGGGGATGGGCATTAAGGAGGGCACGTGATGTGATGAGCACTGGGTGCTATATGCAACTGAGGAATTACTGAGCTCTACCCCTGAAACTAAAAATACACTATATGTTGAAATGACCCAAATCAACAAAATCATGAATGAAAGAGGAGAGATCACAACCAACACCAAAGAAATACAAACAATTATAAGAACATATTATGAGCAACTCTATGCCAGCAAATTAGATAACCTGGAAGAAATGGATGCATTCCTAGAGATGTATCAACTACCAAAACTGAACCAGGAAGAAATAGAAAACCTGAACGGACCTATAACCACTAAGGAAATTGAAGCAGTCATCAAAAATCTCCCAAAAAACAAAAGCCCAGGGCCAGATGGTTTCCCCGGGGAATTCTACCAAACATTTAAAGAAGAATAATACCTATTCTTCTGAAACAGTTCCAAAAAATAGAAATGGAAGGAAAACTTCCAAACTCGTTTTATGAGGCCAGCATTACCTTGATCCCAAAACCAGACAAAGACCCCATCAAAAAGGAGAATTACAGACCAATATCCCTGATGAACATGGATGCAAAAATTCTCACCAAAATACTAGCCAATAGGATCCAACAGTACATTAAAAGGATTATTCACCACGACCAAGTGGGATTTATCCCTGGGCTGCAAGGTTGGTTCAACATCCGCAAATCAATCAACGTGATACAATACATTAACAAAAGAAAGAACAAGAATCATATGATCCTCTCAATAGATGCAGAGAAAGCATTTGACAAAGTACAGCATCCTTTCTTGATCAAAACTCTTCAGAGTATAGGCATAGAGGGTACCTACCTCAATATCATAAAAGCCATCTATGAAAAACCTACAGCTAATATCATTCTCAATGGGGAAAAACTGAGAGCTTTCCCCCTAAGGTCAGGAACACGGCAGGGATGTCCACTATCACCACTGCTATTCAACATAGTATTGGAAGTCCTAGCCACAGCAATCAGACAACAAAAAGAAATAAAAGGCATCCAAATCAGCAAAGAAGAAGTCAAACTCTCACTCTTTGCAGATGATATGATACTTTATGTGGAAAACCCCAAAGACTCCACCCCAAAACTGCTAGAACTCATACAGGAATTCAGTAAAGTGGCAGGATATAAAATCAGTGCACAGAAATGAGTGGCATTCCTATACAACAACAACAAGACAGAAGAAAGAGAAATTAAGGAGTCGATCCCATTTACAATTGCACCCAAAACCATAAGATACCTAGGAATAAATCTAACCAAAGAGACAAAGGATCTGTACTCAGAAAACTATAAAATACTCATGAAAGAAATTGAGGAAGACACAAAGAAATGGAAAAACGTTCCATGCTCATGGATTGGAAGAACAAATATTGTGAAGATGTCAATGCTACCTAGAGCAATCTACACATTCAATGCAATCCCCATCAAAATACCATCCACTTTTTTCAAAGAAATGGAACAAATAATCCTAAAATTTGTATGGAACCAGAAAAGACCGTGAATAGCCAGAGGAATGTTGAAAAAGAAAAGCAAAGCTGGCGGCATCACAATTCCGGACTTAAAGCTCTATTACAAAGCTGTCATCATCAAGACAGTATGGTACTGGCACAAAAACAGACACATAGGTCAATGGAACAGAATAGAGAGCCCAGAAATGGACCCTCAACTCTATGGTCAACTAATCTTCGACAAAGCAGGAAAGAATGCCCAATGGCAAAAAGACAGTCTCTTCAACAAATGGTGTTGGGAAAATTGGATAGCCACATGCAGAAGAATGAAACTGGACCATTTCCTTACACCACACACAAAAATAGACTCCAAATGGTTGAAAGACCTCAATGTGAGACAGGAGTCCATCAAAATCCTAAAAGAGAACACAGGCAGCAACCTCTTTGACCTCAGCCGAAGCAACTTCTTCCTAGAAACATCGCCAAAGGCAAGGGAAGCAAGGGCAAAAATGAACTACTGGGACATCATCAAGATAAAAAGCTTTTGCAAAGCAAAGGAAACAGTCAACAAAACCAAAAGACAACCGACAGAATGGGAGAAGATATTTGCAAATGACATATCCGATAAAGGGCTAGTATCCAAAATCTATAAAGAACTCATCAAACTCAACACCCAAAGAACAAAGAATCCAATCAAGAAATGGGCAGAAGACATGAACAGACATTTTTCCAAAGAAGACATCCAAATGGCCAACAGACACATGAAAAAGTGCTCAATATCGCTCGGCATCAGGGAAATCCAAATCAAAACCTCAATGAGATACCACCTCACACCCGTCAGAATGGCTAAAATTAACAAGTCAGGAAATGACAGATGTTGGTGGGGATGCGGAGAAAGGGGAACCCTCCTACACCAGAGTGCAGCCACTCTGGAAAACAGTATGGAGGTTTCTCAAAAAGTTGAAAATAGAGCTACCATACGATCCAGCAATTGCACTACTGGGTATTTACCCCAAAGATACAAAAGTAGGGATCCGAAAGGGTACGTACACCCCGATGTTTATAGCAGCAATGTCCACAATAGCCAAACTGTGGAAAGAGCCAAGGTGTCCATCGACAGATGAATGGATAAAGAAGAGGTGTTATATATACACAATGGAATATTATGCAGCCATCAAAAGGAATGAGATCTTGCCATTTGCAACGACGTGGATGGAACTGGAGGGTATTATGTTGAGCAAAATAAGTCAAACAGAGAAAGACATGTATCATATGACCTCACTGATATGAGGAATTCTTAATCTCAGGAAACAAACTGAAGGTTGCTGGAGTGGGGGGTGGGGTGGGAGGGATGGGGTGACTGGGTGATAGACACTGGGGAGGGTATGTGCTCTGGTAAGCGCTGTGAATTGTGCAAGACTGTTGACTCTCAGATCTGTACCTCTGAAACAAATAATGCAATATATGTTAAGAAAAAAAAAGAAGAAGAAGGTAGCAGGAGGGGAAGAATGAAGCAGGGGAAATCGGAGGGGTAGACGAACCATGAGAGACGATGGACTCTGAAAAACAAACTGAGGGTTCTAGAGGGGAGGGGAGTGGGAGGATGGGTTAGCCTGGTAATGGGTATTGAGGAGGGCACATTCTGCATGGAGTACTGGGTGTTATGCACAAACAATGAATCATGGAACACTACATCTAAAACTAATGATGTAATGTATGGGGATTAACATAAGAATAAAAAAAAAGAAATTAGGTAGCTTTTGTAATGTACAACATTTTATATAATAACTGCAATTATGACTAATAACATTATTGTTGTCTCATATTGGACAAGCAAGTATCAAGACATATGGACATAGAGGACACTTACAAAAAAAAATACACTATATGTTAACTAAATTGAATTTAAATTAAAAAATTAAAAAATTAAAAAAGGGATGAGGCCCTTCCAACCAATAAGGATGAGGCACTCATTTCCTCTTCCCTCATTAGCATATTGGACCAGAGTGGGAACCTGCTGGGCACTGTCTCTGTATAAGCAGAGTCTCCCCTCTGTCCCAGGAGGCCAGGCTGACTGCTCTTTGCCGGTGCCCTGTCTTCTTCAGCTCACCTGTAGCCCCAGTAAAGCCTTGCCTGTGCCTTTGATTTGGGGGTCTTGCAACACTCTGATCACAAATGTTAAAAAATCATTGATAATATGATATCTGGAAAATCTCAAATGGGAAATTATGCAACAAAAAAAAATCTGTGAGTCAAAGGGGTATTACAAAGGAAATCAGAATATTTAGAGCCTGAATGACAACAAAAACTCAAACATATCCAAGTGCCAATACAGCCAAAGCAGTGCTAGAAAGGAAATATATAGTTCTCTACATCCAGAGCATTGATCTCTTCCTTTTCCCCTTTTTGTACAAACTTCTGTGTCTGGAAACTAGGAAAGAAGAGCGTCGGGAACCTGAAATATATAGAAGAAGGAAAGTAATTAAGGTAAGAGCAGAAATCAGTGAAATAAAGACAGATAATAGAATCAACAGGATCAAAAGTGGACATGCAGGAAAGATTTACAAAATTGATGAACCCCAAGCTAGATTAATCAATAAAAAGTAGAAAAAGAAATAAGGCACAAGTAATCAGTATGAGAAAATGTTGAAGGACTATCAATAAATCTATTACAGACAATCTAGAGATGAAATGAAATATAGGAGCACCACATGCCAAAGGAGTCAACAGTAGAAGTGGAACGGTCAAGTTTCTTTGACAAAGATGAACACCAGCAGAAAGAGAAAATCTGAAATACACACACACACACACACACACACACGAAGACCTTTCGACAAAGACCATTGAGGCTCAGTTGATTTAACTAGTGATTCTATCAAAGACTTAAAGGGAAGTATTACCCTTGTTGTACATTTTCTTCCAGAAGAGGCAGGAGGAAGAAGTGATTCCCACTGTTTTTATGAAGCCAGCACAAGTATGAGGCCAGAAATCTCACCGGGGTATTTCCAGAAAAGAAAATCAGACTACAGTCGACTGCTCTACAGACAGACTGATATAAGCAAGGACAGTGGTTGGTTTTGGGTTTTTTTTTTTTTTTTGTGTGTGTGTGTGTGTGCATTTTTTGGTGAGATTCATTTCTGAAAAGAGGATCTTTTCTGGATATGGTAAGGTTCTACATTTTGATGTTCTTGGTAGTTAAATGGACGTACACAATTGCCAGACTTAGTGAACGATACACTTACAATGTGTGCATCTTATTATATGAAAATTACACTTCAATAAAAACAAAGTGAAGCAGTTTTATGGAAAGGACGCACTTTTCAACAGTGAGAAATGCTCCATGAGCACACGTCACTTGGTAATCCTGTGTGTGTGCTGCTTTATTAACCACCGTCACATTAGTGGTCACAATAAGTGCATCCCATTTGTGGTAGTGATTCGCAAACTCCGAGAGGATGAATGGCTTACTCCAGTCTTTAGACAGCGTGTGGCAAATCAGGACTGAAACTCAAGGTCTTTGCCTCTTGGTTTTTGCTTTTCCCCAAAAGAATACTTCGCTGGTGCACTACCCTTACCTGAGAAAACCCTGCCATAGCACCTGCTGCTGTAGAGTGCTCTGGAATCCTTGTTTTTGTTCTGAGCCTCTGAACATCATTGGCTGGTAATTGGAATAACAGCCTTAGCACACGATTATAGTTTTATAGCAATGCATGACTTAGAATTCTGACTTACTTAAGATTCACCCAATTATCTGAATTAAAATATTTTCTTTGCCTTCACTGCGGGATCTGGAATAGATGCTTCGATATGCCCTCATGGCAACAGAAGCTTCCCACCATCGTGATGTCCGCTGCCCTGCACTGTGCTTTCTCTTTCTCCCTCTGCCTCCATCCATCATTGGTCTCAGAGCTTTCCCGCTCATGGGTAGAGGAGAAATGATTTCTTATTCATCTTGTATCCCAGGCTTATTATAGTGTCTGGCACTGAAGACATACTTCCTGAATGACTAAGCAAGTAGGGCAGATGCCTTCTGGGAAACTCTCACCTCCTGGTCTGCCGTCTGTCACCACAACTGCATTGACACATTGATTAATAATTTGTCTGGAAGTAAAGATCCCCTATGATGGAGTTGATGATATTAAAAGTAATATTTTTATTGTGCTATTTAAGTGCAGCATAGTTCAGCTTGCTTGCTTATTGGCCAGTACACTGTATGGGGCGGAGGCTGTGGGATGTAGTTTGCTCTGCCACCTGCCAAAGCTGGAAGGGTTATGAACGTTTTGTAGGAGTCGCTCAGTTGTTGAATGAACAAATACATTTCTACAACTACATAATACACGCCCAGTTCTGCAAATATATCCATCTTTCTCTGTATTGGTTGTGATTTTCGTGTACTTTCTTGGTTACCCCAAGGCATTGTCTTCCATTTTGGGGTAAGATTTCAGGGTTTGCTGTTTATATATGGTAGTTAACTCATTATACATTATTTTCATTGATGGTGCAACATGGATATTAGCCTTTTTACATATGCATACTCAATTTTCCCAGCACTATTTATTGAACAGCTTAGTATTTCTTTGGTTTGTAATGCCATTCATCAATGTTCTGTATATTAGCAGGCAATTCTGTATGCTCTTTGTTCTCTTCAATAGCTATGTTGGCATTGATATCGTAGTGTTTAATTATTACTGTTTTATAATGTCTTGGTACCTTGTAAGAAAATTTTGTTCTATTTCTTCTTGATCTTTCTTCTTAAATGTTTTTAAAAAGCAAATTGACTTCCTGGATTCTGTCCACTGGGAGGATTTCCCTTCATGGTTGCATTTTACAGCCATCCCTGTTCGGGGCTGTTGTACATTTGGCTGGTTATGTGTATATTATGCAAACCCCTCTGTAAACCAGGGTTGCCCTTTTTGTTAGCTTTTCATAGGGAACCCCCATGAGGCCACAGGTGATTGTTAAGGGCAAAGCAGTACACACAGCGATAGGCACAGGTAGCAGGTGAGTGAGTGAATGATCTAGTTACCGATGCAACTAGCTTGCACCTGTTCTGATACATACCATTTTCATGGATAATTGAATATTACTATTAATATCCAATCTTATGATTTAGTAGATCATAAAAAACACAGTTATGATGGACAGTTCGGGTTGCACAATTAATTGGTGCCTTATGGTTAAACATGAAGTTTCTACCAGGGTCAATAGGAAGCCAGGAACTGCTTACCAAATTGAGGATAGTTGTTGGCAGAAGATGGCATGGCTTCATTCCAAGCACAGGGGACTATGCAGTGATTCTTGCACTGGGATTTATCAGAATCTCTATAAAATGCATCATTTGTCTATCCCACAGGAAATACCACTGCATATGTTGACACACAGCCCTAAGGGACAAGACGGCTAGAACCACTGCCTGGACCTGACACAGAGGTCTAGGAGGTAGACCTTCTTGCTCTTTACTCTCTGCCCTGAAACCAGCCATCTTCAAGGTTACTCAATAATTGTATTTAGGGGCTCCTGGGTGGCTCACTTGGTTAAGTGTCTGCCTTCGGCTCAGGTTAGGATCCCAGGGTCCAGGGATCGAGTCCCGCATTGGGCTCCCTGCTCAGGGAGGGAGTCTGCTTCTCCCTGTCCCTCTGCCTCCCCCCTGACTTCAGCTTTCTCTCTCAAATAAATATATAAAATCTTAAAAAAATAATTATATTTAGGAGCATGCCTACATATCCTATTTGCAGCCTCCAAGATGTAAAAAGCCCATGGAGAGTTGTGTCTATGTTTTTGAAATGGGTGCTACAAAGTGTAACACTGTCTCTCCCACTTTAGGGGCCCTTCTGACATTCTCAGCTGCTGAGGCTAGAAACATTGTCAATGTGGTAGGTCTTCAAGCTTTTGGGAGGTCTCTCTCTCAGGCTTGCTTCTTCCTCTCGTCAGATCCAGTGAGTACAGTGCCATCAAGGTAACGTGATACTTGAGATGTGAAGACATTCAGGTTCCTTCTGGTCTGTCTTATGAGAAAGCAGGAGAGCTGGCTCAGCCGTGAGGTAGGAGTGCAACCATGTGCTGACGCTCCATCCATGTGAGGCACCTTGTTTCTGATCACTTTTACTGGGAGAAATGGGGAAGTTACATGCCAGGTCAACACGCTGGGTGGTGGGGCAATGCTGGTTTGCTTCAGTGAAGATGCCACATTCAGAACCACAGCGAGGGTGGACATCACCACCTGATTGAGGGTGCAGTGACCACAGTCCTTCTCTCTGACTCCTCTGGTGTTCTCACCATTCAGACAGGAAAGGCAGAAGGAGATGCGTAGTTTTCTTTCCCCTGCAGGCTCTGGTAACACTGATGCCTAAGGCATGTGGTACTACTTTGGGTTTACAATTTTGGTGAAGGAAAGGCATTTCCCGGAGCTTTCTGTTGCCTTTCCCTGCTATAATACCCCTCATTCCACAGGTCAGGGAATCAGCGTGGGGATTCTGCCAGTGGTGAGGCATCCTGACACTCAGTGGGTCCGTTATTCCACTGGACTCCCTGTGATAGTCAAACTGAGAACGGGTGTTGCTGGACATCCTCAAACCCTCCTGGGGGCACATTCGTTAGCTTACCCGATAATTAGCTTCAGCCCAGAGCCAGAAGCTAATAACCTTCAGAGGCTTCTCTGTCTTCCTTTTGGCCGGTAAGTCTCCATCCTTGTGAAATGGTTTCAGGTCTCACTCACGAGGTTTAGAGATCGTTTCCTGTATATTCTTGTGGCCACATACACGCAGGAGGCCAGGAGAGGCACCGGCGAGAACACCCAGCACACTGGAGGGGGAGGGGCTTCGACGGAACCTCCCAGGTAGGAGAACATTCCTGGGCTTGCCTCCTGCTGGCCCATCCCAGGGGCCTGACAGTTCAGGTGGGCTCATGCCCTTGTCCACAACGCCAAGAGTGTCTGCCAGGCCGGCGGGGGGCTTCAGGCATTTGTGAGCAGAGGTGAAGGAGGAGACAGATGGATAGGGCTGGAGCTGAAGGAGAAAGAAAAGACCTAGGGAATGAAGCTGTGTCTAAAATGAAGAACCGAGAGGCAGAAAGGACAGGGGGAGTAAGGACTGAGAGGGACTGGAATGAGTAGAGCAGGAGGGGAAGTCATTTTGTTCATTTTAGAACATGCATGGAATGAAGGCGCTGTATCAAGGGGAAAGGATGGAGAATTTTGGAGGAGATAAAAAAGGATGTGAGAAGTATTGTTGGGGTTCAGAAGCTAGATTACCTTTAACAATCTTTGAGAGTTGCCAGGAAGGATTGAAGTTAATTTAATTTACCTCTCTCTCTCTTTATATATATATCATATATATCATATATATATATATATCATATATATGATAGAGTTCCACATGCATTTTGGCTTTGATAGTGAGCCAGGAGTGACTGGTTCTAGGTCCTCCCTGAGAGAAGATTTCTGTACTGGGAGAGGAGACCCCAGCTGGGGGATGAGCACCACAGCATCCGCACGTGCAGGTGAGGATCAGAGCAGGTGCCGGGCAAGCTCTGCAGACGTCTCAGGTGTGCTCACACTTCCTCACTCTCCCCTCTGCCTTCATTTGCCAGAAGCTGAAGGAAATGTCTTCCTCTTCCTCTCTGGATGGATGCAGGGAGGGTGGCGCTGATGGGCTTGCCCCTCTGCAGAGCCTAGAGTTGGCCACTAGGAGGCAGTGTTGCCTCTTCTCAGACTCAGGGTGCGAGGCCGGATTCCAGATTATTACAGATAACAGAGGAAAGAAGAGACAAGGGAGCCTGAACACGCAGTAAGCGCTTGTGTGAAGTGTGAGAAATGGGAGGACAGGAAATCAAGGGTTTCTTCAAGCATTCTGACGTAAGGAAATAGGCTGCTTGCAACCCTGATGAGTTTTGATCTTGTGTGATGACCCCATCAGGCAGATGGAGAACACAGGCTCCCTCGAGAAGCCGCTAGTTAGCTGGTTTACCAGAAAGCACGGGACGCTGAATGGTCTAGTGGAGCGAGTTCTGTGAAGGCAGGGCTCCCGCCTCTGTGTCTTTCTCTTAGCCTCCAGGGTGTGTCTGACTTGTAACCGGTTGTGCAACGAGCGTGTTAACGCCTCCGACCCTTGCTGGGATGCGGCCTCTGGAGGTACAGAGCCCGGGTTTTCAGACCAGCCCTGCAACCTTAGCGCCTTGGCCAAGCACTGCTTCCGTCTGGGCCCCAGCTCCCCGTGGGTGAAATACTGCTCACAGACATGAGATCCAAGTCTCCTGAATGCCGGGCCCCAGTTAGAAATGCACATTTTGAAAGGACAAGATGGCCATAAATGGGAAATGCAAGTTTCTTCTTTTATTTATTTATTTATTTATTTATTTATTTATTTATTGACTGTGTGCACACGGAGGTGGGGGAGGGGGAGAGGGAGAGAAAGAATCAGGCGTGGAGCCTGACACGGGGCTCGATCTCAGGACCCTGAGATCATGACCTGAGCCGAAATCAAGAGTCCAGTGCTCCACCGACTGAGCCACCCAGCACCCCTCTTCTTTCATGATTTTAGACCTCATAGGGCAGGGGAAGTGTGACGGCTCACAGAGATTTGCCTGCTGAACCTCCAGGCTGGATGCAAAGTGACTGGCCAACCTGCTGCTGAATCTGCAACCTGGACGGCTGGCTGCGTGCTCAATCAGGAGACTCGCCCGCCAGCCCCTCAGAGGGCACGGCTGTCTGCACGTTCAACCTCCCCCGTTCTCCCTGACAGCCCTCAGGTGACCGGAGTTCTAGATGGTAGGATTCTTACATGTTTTGTCCATCGCGGCAGAGCTCTTATTCAATCTCCTCTACAAACTCCTGGCCTTGTTTAGATCTGCAGAGTTGTGTCTTCTGAGTACTCACTCCATGGTAACCTCTGCACACTCAGTAAAATCCAGGGGGACCTTAGGTCTCTGCGTTCCACTCATCTCAGTCTGCTCCTCTCCTTACATCCCCACCACCGGCAGCCATCATCTGACCGTCCCATCCACGCCAGAAACACCGCCAAACACCACTGGCCCTCCTCAACTCCACTGCGCTTTCCGTTGTCCGTTCCACTGCCTTAGTGATACAGCGTCTTTCTTTTTTTGGTCTGAAATCTCGGAATAGCTTCGAACCTGCCATTTGACCAGCTTCTCTTCGTACTTTTCTAGCTCCTACAATATTCTGTCTGTTCACTAAGGGCAGGAAATAGCTTTGTACGCCTGGCGTCCTTCACTGCGTTGGCCACATAGAACATTCAGGTAAATGTGCAATCACTCCCTAGAGGACTGGCCCCTAGGCTCTGCAGCTGGGAGTAAGGCTGGAGCCCATGAAAACTATCTCAGCCAGGGATGTTTTTGTTTTGCTCTCTGGAAGATGCATGCAAATACCTACTTTAGGGAATACAGATATTTTCATAGGCACATACTTCCATAAAATCATCTCTTCAATACATGTGACATTTTAATATATGTAATCTCAGTCTTGTAAGGCCGGCAGAGCACATATTACTTTTCTAAGCCTTTAGTTGTAAGATGAGAGGAGGTTGAGCCCCAGAGGGATCAGATGATTGCCAAGGTCTCGTAGCTGACACGTGGTAGTACTTGGCAAGAAATAGGATCTTTCATTTTTGACTGCACTGCCCTTTCTTCATTGTACCTCATATCCCATGACTTTTGGGAGTCATGTGGAGTGAATGATGGATGGGTGTCTGCTCATGGATGTTGATAATGTGTATCTGCCCCAGCTTCAACAACTGATGGGGCAGAATCCTTTGAATTTGGGCTTGAGAAAGACTAACTGGGGTGAAATTAAGTGGTTTAAAATGCATTTCGAGATACTTCACCTGGAGACACACTACTGACAGGTAAATAAGATGAATATGGAGACACCTCTCTGCCAATGAATAACACATTGCTTTTGGGCAAGTAGGTAAATTCAAGGAGATTGTCTTTCCCAGCTACACTTAAAAAGTTTAGTACATGAATAATTGAGCAACTTCCTGGCACACTCAGTATTTATCTGTAAGCCTGCTCTGGGCAGAAAAAGAGAAAAAACGTTTAGAAAACAAGTTTTGCATTAACCAGGAGTGTATTTGTTTGCCAGAAGCTTACATAATTACATCTGCAAAGGAACATACTGGTGTGTCTCCTTATTGTCTTGTGGATCTACTGATGTGAAATATATCAGGCAGATCCGAAGGGAAGGGGTAAAACCCTGGATCTCTGGGCGCACGTGTGCACTGCAGGAGATTGGAAGCGAACTTCCGGAAATCTGTTTGCACATCGATTACGATCCTGTGGTGTTGGAATCATTTTCGTACTTGCCTT